TTTTGAAGGTTCCCAGGCAGTGCCCGCTTGTCCTTCTGGTAAAGATAGAGCATATAATCTGATTTTTGTTTGTTTGTTTTTGCTAACGTTGGGAGGGCTATATTAAGGCGAAATTTTGATGTTAACAATGGGAGGGCTGCATGTGAGGCATGCAGTGTAACGTGGAATTTGGGAACCAACTCAGCATAGTTCCAGCATAGGTGTGGTGATTGGTCGATGTGGCCGCGGGCGTACTGGGCGTTTGGGGAGTTTCAATCATCCGGTCACCTGTAAAGAGATCTTAGAGCTGATTATCTTGCAAACAGGGATAAGGGACGCAGATGTTTATCACCAGTGGGATCGTAGTGTCCTAGTGCCTGAATCTGACTGTTTTCGCTGGTTACCGATTTCTGGTACAATGTCCTCGCTAACCTCTTGAAATGACTTTTTATTGATGACATTCCCGTCTGTTCATGTAAGGTTGTAATTGGTGTTACCCTCGGCAATTTTGTTATTATCCTGAGGACTTTATTTTGAAATGTCTGTAATTTATTTATGTGAGTGTTGGCAGCATAGCCCCACGCGGGGGAGGCATATGACAATATGGAACGGAGGAGTGATTTATAAATTACCAACGCTAAATTAATGTCAATTGTGGAGGATTTATTTAATATAGGATACAGTTGTCTGAGTCTGTAATTAGCTTTGCGCAAAATACAGGATATGTGGGTACGGTAGGTTAATTTTGAGTCAAGTGTAACACCAAGATACTTCGTTTCCTTAGTCCAAGATATGGTTTTGTTAAAAATCTTTACTTGATGCTTACTGCAGCCCTGATGTCGCAGTCGTTTAGAAAAGAGTGTAATTGTGCACTTTTTTACATTAATCTGTATTCTCCATTTCCGGAACCACGGTTCTAAAAGGCTTATGGCAGAGTTTAACTTCCTGACTGAGATATCTATGCTACCTGACCGAACACTAATATTCGTGTCATCAGCATAGACCGATATGGCTATGTTGGAGTCATTTTCAATTGAAGGAATGTCATTAATATAAATATTGAAGAGTGTGGGTCCAAGTAAGCTGCCCTGAGGCACTCCGGCCTGAATGGGGCGTAGGTTTGAATAATAATTTTTGTGCATTATAAAAAAGAATCGATTCTGGAGGTAGTTATGTATTATATGAAAGAAGTGAGGTGGAATTTTGGCCGAAATGAGTTTAGCAATCAACCCGGTGTTCCAGACCTTGTCGAATGCTCGTTCAATATCCAGGAATAAGGTTACTGTAGCTTTGTTATTGTTGAAACCGTGCGTAATGCGCTCCACATTCCTTAACAACGCATGTGTTGTGGAGTGGCCTCTTTTAAAACCGTATTGGTCATTTCTGATAGCTTGCAGCTTCCTAAGTTCGAAGTTTAGTCTTTTTAGAATGATTTTCTCTAAAAGTTTACCTAAAGAATTTAGAAGGCTTATTGGTCTATAATTTAGTGGGGACGTATGGTCTTTGCCTGGTTTCGGAAGCATAATAATTTTTGCCTCTTTCCATTGTGTAGGAAAATAATTTAGGGCAAGTGATCTATTAAACAGTTTTGCAATAAATTTGAAAACAAACCGCGGCAGATGCTGAAGTATTATATTCTGTATCCCGTCAGGCCCTGCTGCTTTGCGTGATTTGAGGTGGCGGACAATCCAAGCGATTTCTGAATGATTTGTGGCCCTCATCCGGTCTGTGAGTGGCTGTGCAAGGAAGTCATTCACTACCTGTTCAGTGCTAACTGTAAAAGTACGATCAGCATCCAAATTGGTAGTGAAAATTTGTTCCAAGGTATCGGCAAATACGTTTACTTTTTCCTGGGTTTCGGTCACAGTTTTCCCATTAATGGTAAGGGGTGGGATGTTAAAATTTGTGTTTGTTAAACTTTTAGTTATCCGCCAGGTGTCTCTCATGTTATTAGTGTCCAGCCCTTGTAAAGTTTTCTGCCAGGTGTTCGATAATTGTTCTTTTATTGCCGAATCTATTTGCTCTTTTAAAGAATTAATGAGAGGGCGAAGAGTAATATCACGGGTTCTTTGCCATTGCGTCCGAAGCCTGTTCCTCTTTTGAATGAGTACACGAGTGGAAGCTGCAATCTGCATTGATTTGAAAGTTTTCCTTCTTAACGGTACAGCATAGAGAGTGGCTCTGTTGAGGATGTCTGTAAGGTGCTTAACCGCTACATCAATCTCGCTCTTTGAGCAGTTCCCTTCTAGGCACTGAGTATTCAGATTGTTTACTAAGTAATTTTGAAAAAGTTCCCAGTTCGCTTCCCGGTAGATAAAATTTTGTTTAATTTCGTCAGGTTCTACTGGCCCACGTATGGTCAATAAGACGGGGTTGTGATCGGATGTGGAGAGGCTGCCTAGGGTGCGTACAGAGTGACGTGACAGTACGTTACTGAGGATGGCAAAGTCAAGTATTTCCGCCCCTGCAGGGTTTCTGTCTGGAAAATGCGTAGGCTGTGACGGAGCGGAAATTATGTAATTATTTTTGTAATAATGATTTAAAAGGGATTGTCCCGCCGCGTTATTCTGTCTAGCGCGCCATGTTACGTGCTTGGCGTTGAAATCGCCTGCAAGAATTACCTTGTGCCCGGTTGCTATGAGGAGGTCTAAGTCACGTTCTATTATTTTTCCTGGCGGATTGTAGACCGAAATTAATACTATGGATTCCTTATTAATGTTGAGTTGAATAGCTGTAGCTTCCATATGTTGTAAGCGAGGAAGGAGAATTTCTGAGTGTTTCAAATCCTGACGTATTAGAATGGCTGTTCCGCCACCCCGCTGGTTTAGCCTGTCAGTCCTGTACGTTATGTAGTTCGGACATTTAAATCTCGTGGATGGCTGTAAGTGCGTTCCACTTATTAGTGCTTTGGGCATGCTATTGGCTTCCAGGTAATTTGTGAACTCGTATTTTTTCGATTTAATGCCCCTGCAATTCCAGAATAAGATATTGGTGTGTGAGGACTTACCCATTATGTGGAAGACCTAGGAGGTTGACTAGGAAGTTCCTGAATATGACCGGGAGGGCACTCTCATATGGGTGCTGCATAAATTGCAGGAGCATGACTGACATTGTTTGCAGAAGGCACTGAAAGGAAAAGTTTGGGTTGAAAGCCCGAACACAATTGACAAATTCCCTAGTTTGATGTTCAGTGTACGAGTTACCTAGTCTCTGTCTGGGAGGCTGATGGCCGTGCTGATGCATGTTATCTGCCGACTGCAATAAATTTTGGTCAGAAGAAATGTAACTGTGTTCCTCCCGCGGGTGTGTTGTGTCTTGTTGCTGGGTATGAGTTTGTCCCTTTGTTCTGGTCAACTTGGGGGCAGAGTGCCGAGAATTAGGGGCGACCGAAGAATCTGAGTTAGGCTCGTCCCCTACCCGGGGGGTGGGGGGGTGAAGCAGGTATGTTTTGTTCTGGCGAAGAAATGGCAGTTTCAGAGTTAACGGGTTCTTTTGCAGCTGGTTGAAGGTTATTGTTTACTGAAGGGTTACGGTGCACGTTGCAAGTGCAGCTTAGTTTATGGGAAATCCGCGGATCTTGTCTGTAATAAAACTGCGGAATTTCCGTGTGAGGTACAAACATGTAATTGGACGGAAGGTTACGCGCTTGATTTAAACGCGGAGGAGGAGGGGGAGGTTGTGGCAATTGTGAAGTTGAAAAGTTCAGAGGCCTGCTCCAAGCGTTTCCGGGACTCATAGGCGGATAGTCTGGAGGGATTTAGAGGGAGGATTTTGCGGATGGATAGATTAAAATGAATTTCGCGCTCTGCCATATTAGCAGGCTGGCGATTATTCAACTTTTCAGGCTGAGGTTTATTTCTCATCTCCTTTTCTAGGAGGTTCCGAAAATAGGGGCAACCTCTGTACTTGGAGCCGTGATCTCCGATTTTGCACAGAGCGCACGTGGGCACAAAGTTCGGTTCAAAACGTTTTTCACATTGCCACGAGCAACGTTCCTCTGCACAGTGGGCACAAGCCGGAGGGGCCTGACAATTTGCCGCCACGTGAAAGAATTGCTGACACCGTGCGCACTGAGGCGGCACGGCGCGT